GAGCCGTCCTTTCCTTAACTCCTGCCAAAGGTGGTTGAAGCAAACCTTTGACGAGGCGGATAAAAACGGCGATGGCAGCCTGAGCATTAACGAAGTCCTCCAGCTGATGCACAAGCTGAACGTCAACCTCCCCCGTCAGAAAGTGAAACAGATGTTCAAGGTAAGAGGCTCCATCGTGCACCAGGGCGCCTAATGAAGGCAGGTGGAGGCGCTTGGAGGGACGGCCGACCTCGGGGGCTGCAGCTCTGGCCGTCTCCCACCTCGGGCTCACCGCCAGATGTTGGGGCTTGCAGCTTGGCAGGCTTGCAAACGGGCCCTGCCGCAGCTATTCACCCAACTTATAATAATAATAATAATAACAACAACAACAATAATAATAAAGTTGGAAGGGACATTGGAGGGTCATCTAGTCCAACCCCCAAAACTCTAGCTGATGATGTTACCTCATTTGGGTAATGAAATATCTCCAAGCAAACCACCAAACTCAGACACCCAGGACCCTCATGTCAAACCTGAGCTACAAATATTCTCCTTTATTAGTTTTCTTGCCTTTCATTAGCACTGATGGTGTTACCTAGGTTGGTAATGAGACGTCTGCAAGAAAACCACCCAGCTCAGAGAGCACCGAGGACCCCATAAAGGATTGAACCCGCCAGGCTGTTGAGAATCTCTTAAACTGAGATCTAACCCATCTTGGGACAAGTTGCGTGGTTAGGCTGTACTTACATTCTCAGACTGAGCAGCTCGTATGCTGGTCTGTCAGTCAACCTTCGCTTTCCCTCCTTAAATCTATTATTTAAAATTGCCAGGGCTAAAATCTCTCTTCGTTTTTCACAGACCTTGCCCAGCTCATTGATGCAACACGGGGGAAAAAAATATCCTTCTAAAATCTCTTAGAATTGCTCCCAATCAATCTGGCCCATACTTAGCTAGAGGCAGTAACGTCAAAAAAAATTGAAGCAATTTCTGTGAAAGTCAGCAAGAGAGAACTTGTGTCTATTGTTAGTCCCCCTTTTTTTTAATAAGCTCTCTCCCTTTTTTAAAAAAAAAAATTCCTCCTTTTTTCTCTCTGCCTCAATTAGCTGCCCCTGCAAATGCCCGCCATAAAGAGATAGCAGCAGCGTGGAAAGTTAGAAATAACACTCTCTTTAATGTTGGAAGATTAAGAAAAGAAATACTTCCATTTGTAGAGAGAAAGTGGTGTGCCTTTTGCACTAGCGGAGAGAGAGAATTAAATGGGAAATAGATACGCCGATTATTGCTAAAGATGTACCAGACTATTTCAAAAGAACTCTGTTAATTTGTTAAAGCGAGTTTTTAAATGTCTGGCAAGGAAATTTCATGCTCCCCCCCCTTGTAAAACTTAATTTGCCATCTATCTTGAGTTCTGACATAAAACTGGCGCACTGCAGCAGGGACCTCTTGATTTTCCTGCGGTTCGTTAAATTGTGGTGTCATTCCCGGGTTTTTGAAAGAAAAAGAAATTGTTTTGCCTGTTTAATCCATGCAGTGATATCTTCACACATCAAAGCCAGCTTAGGGGGTGATTGGCAGGCAGGATGCCAGCTTCAGCAGCTGATTGACACCTTCCTCCCCTGCCAGCAGCTGGGGGAATATTTATTGAAATTTCCCCCACAAGTTGAAATGTTCCCAGCAAAGTCCTAATAAGCTCCATGTAAATTGGTCGGAGAATGCATTAACAGGGACGGAAAATAGACAGCGTGATCAAATGAGATTTTCAGCAGGATCTGCCATCTCAAGTCACTGAACACCATATTTGATACAGGTGGAATATAGTAGAAACAGGACAGGTGTAAAAAAAAATATCCAGTTTTTTGGGGTGTGTGACCCTTCCTTCCTTCCTTCCTTCCTCCCTCCCTCCCTCCCTCCCTCCCTCCCTCTCGCTTTCCTTCCTTCCTTTCTTCCTTCCTTCCTTCCTTCCTTCCTTCCTTCCTCCCTACCTCCCTCTCTCCTTCTTTCCTTCCTTCCTTCCTTTCTTCCTTCCTCCCTCCCTCCCTCCCTCTCACCTTCCTTCCTTTCTTCCTTCCTTCCTTCCTCCCTCCCTCTCTCCTTCTTTCCTTCCTTCCTTCCTCCCTCCCTCCCTCTCATCTTCCTTCCTTCCTCCCTCCCTCCCTCACCTTCCTTCCTTCCTCCCTCCCTCTCATCTTCCTTCCTTCCTTCCTCCCTCCCTCCCTCACCTTCCTTCCTTCCTCCCTCCCTCCCTCCCTCCTTCAATGACAAGCCAAGAAACATCATTTTCCTGCGAAGTGAGGAATTCCACCTGTGCTGGAATTGTGCATGTGAAGTTTAGTGAAGAGAAGGACTAGAGATGGCAAGATAGCAGCCTTTCAATATTTGAGGGGCTGCCCCAAATAAGAGGGGGGAGTGTCAACTTATTTTCCAAAGCGCCTGAAGAAGGCAGGACAAGAAGCAACGGATGGAAACTAATCAAGGAGAGAAGCAACCTAGAAGAACTATGGAGAAACTTCCTAACAGCGAGAACAATGAACCAGTGGAACCGCTTGCCACCAGAAGTTGTGGGTGCTCCATCCCTGGAGGCTTTTAAGAAGCGATTGCACAACTGGTGTAGGATTTCCTCCAAGGTCCCGCCCAACTCTCTCATTCTAGGTTATGATCTGCTCTCCCCTCCCCTTGTTTCCACAGGAGGCGGATACGGATGACAACCAGGGCACCCTGGACTTCGAAGAATTCTGCGCTTTCTACAAGGTGATGTCCACCCGGCGTGACCTGTACCTCCTTATGCTCACCTACAGCAACCACAAGGACTTCCTAGACGCCGAGGACCTCAAGCGCTTTCTGGAGACCGAGCAAAAGGTAGGCGTGAAGCCGTCGCCCCTCCCGGCATCGCGCAGCCCTCCTTCGGCTCTCTCCGATTTCCTAGCGGCCGGCAGAACCGTAGAAACAAAGGCAGGCCTTGACTTTGCTTGACAGACGGTCGCCAAAGGGGATCGCAGGATCCCGGGGTCCCTGCGACCCTCATAAATAGGAACCAGCCTCTGAATTTTGATCTCCTGACCACGGGGAGGCTGCAACGGTCGTAAGTGTGAAAAACTGGTCCTAAGTCCCCTTTTTCAGGGCCGTAACGTTGAACGGTGCCAAGAAAGTTTGTAAAATGGAGCAAAATTCACCTAACCAAGGTCTCACTTAGGGACAGAAATTTTTGGCTCAGCTGTAGCCGTACGTTGAGGACTACCTGTACTTTTTCTTCTCCTTGCTGCCTTTCTTCTTTTGCTCACTTTATAAATCTTGCCTGGTAAACTATTTCGAGACGGCGTGCGTTGTTGTGATTTGAAGCAAATCCTGATCAAATGGTTGCCCTGGATTAAATGTCGGGGTTCTGAATGACCTCATAAGATCCAGATATGTTTTTCTGCTTCCTCCATCCCCCCCTTTGTGTTAAATGATTCATCCTTTCTACTTCAGTTGCTGGATTCCGCCACTGCGCACACCTGGCTGAAGGGTATTCATGCCCTGTCAGTTAATGGGTTGTGCACAGGTCTCACAGCTCTCCAATATAATGTCTGTTCTGTGTTTCCACATTGATTTACTGTCTGCTTTCCGGTGGACTGAGCGCCCGGCCTCACCCAGATCCATTTATCCTGGCCTAGCGCCTGGTCTCAGCTCAAGATTCCAGGGCTTGCATTTCAATATGCTTGTGAAGCGATGGCTGGATCAGTGTATCTGGGTTGCATGTGCTATTTGGAAGTTTTTGGGGGGCAGGGGCGTGTGCTTTGAGCCACCCCAAATTGATTGGAATCAGAGAGTGTCCAAGAGGGAGGGAGGGAAGAAGGAAGGAAGGAAGGAAGGAAGGAAGGAAGGAAGGAGGGAGGGAGGGAGGGAAGGAAGGAAGGAAGGAAAAATGAGATATGAGGAAGGAAGGAAGGAAGGAAGGAAGGAAGGAAGGAAGGAAGGAAGGAAGGAAGGGAAAGGAAGGAAGGAAGGAAGGAAGACGAAGGAAGGAAGGAAAAATGAAAGACAAAGAAGGGAAGGAAGGAAGGAAGGAAGGAAGGAAAAATGAAAGCCGAAGGAAGTAAAAATGAAAGAGAAAGAAGGGAAGGAAGGAAAGAAGGAAGGAAGGAAGGAAGGAAGGAAGGAAGGAAGGAAGGAAGGAAGGAAAAAAAATAAAGTAGAGAAAGGGTGGGAGGGGAAGGAAGGAAGGAAAGAAAAATAAAAGAAGGAAGGAAGGAAGGAAAGAAAGAAAAATAAAAGAAAAGGGGAAGGAGGGAGAAAAATGAAAGCGAAGGAAGGAAGGAGGGAAGGAAGGAAGGAAGGAAGGAAGGAAGGAAGGACAAATGAAAGAGAAGGGAGGGTTGCCTGGCTCGAAAATTCTGGGAGCTGAAATCCACAGGTCTTAAAGTCGCCAAGGTTGGGAATCCCTGCTATGGAACTTGAGAAACTGGCCATTACAATATGGACGCTCCCTGGGATGGCATGGGAGGGGGGGTTTATCCTGCCCCACCCTTGGCATTTGACCAAAAATGACCTGCCAATGGCTGGCAGCTTGTATCAAAGGTTGGCTGATTGTCAGGGAGGACCATCTCTTTGCACGATGGGAAGAAACGAACCCTGGACGTGGCTGGACAAAGAAAAAGAGAAAAAAAAATCCACCTTACAAGACCCCTGGACAAAATGTCCCTCGGGTGCCCCAATTTGTCTGCCTCACCTTTCTTTTATTCCTTTAGATGAGCAACGTCACCAAGGAGCACTGCTTGGAAATTATCGGCCAGTTTGAACCGTGTCCGGAAAACAGGCAGCAAGGAGCGCTGGGGATCGACGGTAAGCTCCCGCTTGCTTTGACCCACACACCCCATCACCTGGATGTTGTCATCCACACAACCCAAATCGAGACAGTCCTGTGTGCCTCAGGATTACAGCCTGACCAATTCTGGAGCCGCGTTCCTACAGTCAAACCCTCGGGGACCTGACATTTGCTCAAGCCGAATACGGTGTCCGATCCTCGTTTGCTATTTCTGGGCTATTTCTCTCCCTCGTCCCCTTAATCTCTCCCCTCCTCTTTTTTTTTTTTCCTGGAGTTGCTTTCCAAAAGTTGCTTTTGACAGGCATCCAAACTGTCCAAATTTAATTGATGTACAGTAGTTTGATTTTAATGGGTGCACGCTCCGACATCCACAGCCGCTTGCCACCAGCTTTTTAATTTACTTTTATGATGAGCAAAGGCCGTGATGAGGCAACTGCCATCCTCCCAACATCCAGGATTCGTAGACACCTTTGGTGCCCATGTTCCACCCCCAATCTAACAGAAACACCCCCCCCCCCAATTGTCTGAAGCTGTTGCTTTGCGGAGTTGCCGCCTTCGTACAGCATCGATTCTGTGCGAGCGGATTAAGTGAGAGTCGGGTTTGAAAAATGAGCCTGCCTCCTTGATTCCGATAAGAAATCGGGGAAGGAGAACCAGTGATAAATGGAGATGGATGGAGAAGCAGAGCCCTCTGACTTGGAAGGGGAAAAAAAAAACAGACGTAAAATTCTTTGTATTAAAAAAAAAAAGGGCTGGGGGGGAAGATTCACGGCTATCAATTCCGTCCTTCTCCGAATTAGCTTTCTGATCTCTGTCGCCTCGGCTTTAATCCCCCTTCGGCTAGACTGCTGCAACTCATATTGCCTAGGGCCGCCCCTGAACTAAGTTTGGGAGCCGCAGCTTGTACAGATGTGTTCACGATCTCTTCCTGGTCTTGAAGAATGAAGCTCAACTCCTAGTATTTTGGGGGAGGGGAAGGGAACATCACTTTTGGGGGGAAGGTGTCCATATTAGGAGTCCCAGCCCCGAGTGCTCTTCCCACCAATGGGACCACTTTGGCCGTGATTTTCCACGTTGTCTCCAGTTCCTCCATCAGGGCTTGATATTTCTCCAGCCTCTCATCCTTTCTTCCTGAGGTTGCTGTCAGCCTTCAAGAGGAAAACATGTCATGAATGGGTGGCTGTAGACTCAAGTGCTGTGAAAGTTGCCTATGCCGAGATTAAAATTAACCTTCTGTAAAAAAATAAAAAGATGTTGATGAACTGGCAGGCACAATGCTCCCAGACACACACACACACACACACACACACAAACACAGAGCAGGGAGACATTTGCCAAGCACCCAAGGTGAGTCCATTGTAACGGGCTTCCAAGCCTCAGTTGCTAGGTAGTCTGCAGCAACAACAAAAAAATTGACATAGCTGTCACCACCACCCAAGAGTGCAGACAAAATCAGACTGGAGAAGAAACACACACAGAAACACACACACACAGACCAAGCTGTGGTTGGGAAGGATTAGGAAGCAGCCAGAACCAGACTGGAACCAGGGGGTTAAAATCACTTCAGCCAGTTGGAGATGATCCGAGAAGGAAACCAAAATCAAACCATTAGGCCTGGATGAAGAAGAGAAGTTTAAAGTTTTCGGCCTGGCTTTTGGGAGAGGGGTGGGGGGGTCTGTCTGGGGAACCCAGAGGGAAAGCATTTGAAAGGACTCTCTCCAACTCTGTCCCCCCCCTACCACCCCACCCCCCAAGCAGGCCGCGTTGAACAAGCTTTTGAGGAAAGCTTCAAGAGCTGAAAGCCAAAAACACTCCATTCTCAGAAGCAGCTTTATCTGTCTCAGCCTTTTTCTCCTGCCTAATTAGTTCTCCGTGGACCCAGCTGGCTCACAGGCCATGGATGATGGGGGTTTTTTTGGGGGGGGGAGTTTAGGTGCATTAAGTGGCCTGGATAACAGAGTGCACCCTTTTCCTCCGCAAAGCGTCTCTTAACTCTGTTTTGTGGCTATTGGGATGATGGGCCGGGATGACATCTAAAGATGGCTTGCCCGAGGCCAGTCAGCATCTCTTTATTCACACAGCATGAATGACACCATCCTCTGTCATCCTCTAACTCACCTGGATCTTTCATGGGCTGGTTGTTTTCGCCAACTCTCTCCAGTGGCCCAGGCACAGCCCACCTGCTCCTCTCTCGCCGTTCCTTTTCCTATCTTCCCAAATTGAAATATATATATATATACTGTATTTTCCGGCGTATAAGACGACTGGGCGTATAAGACGACCCCCAACTTTTCCAGTTAAAATATAGAGTTTGAGCGAGAGAGGGGGGGGGAGAGAAAACCTGATGAGTAACATGCCAAACCACATGTGTAAAGGAATAAAATAGAATACCCGTATTTTATTTATTTATTTATTTATTTATTGAATTTATATCCCGCCCTTCTCCTTGCGGACTCAGGGCGGCTGACAATCAATTTAAAAATACACCAAAAACAATTACAAAATTTAAAATTAGTTAAAAAGAAATATTTAAATATTGTCTAATTAAAATATGAATTAAAACCTCTCTAAAAATTGCCCTAGGCCAGTCCCGCTTGTTGGAATAGCCATGTCTTAAGGGCGCGGCGGAAGGAAGGGAGATCAGGGATCACCCTGATCTCTGGGGGCAGCTCATTCCAGAGGGTGGGAGCTCCCACAGAGAAGGCCCTCCCCCTTGGGGTCGCCAGCCGGCACTGTAAGACGTGTAAGACGACTGGGCGTATAAGACGACTGGGCGTATAAGACGACCCCCGACTTTTGAGAAGATTTTCAGGGTTTAGAAAGTCGTCTTATACGCCGGAAAATACGGTATATTGCATGTTAGGCAGCTGTGTTAACCTCTAGGCCACTGGCTCCCCCTCACTCCTGTCAGTAGAGACCAGGGAGGATATATATATATATATCTATATGTTGGGTGGAGCACCCGGTTTCTTTGCTGAGTTTCCAACTAGACTTGTACTAGAACAGGGATGATGCTCAGAGTACGTCCATGTATTTCATCCGGCAATGACGGCGATGAGTTTTCTGCATTACTATGGATTTTCTCTCAGTGTCGATGTAATTAAACCTGCTTGTAATTACTTGAGCATATTTAAGCCATTGTCTCGATAATTATCCCTCTTTCTCTTGAGAAGTTAAGCATTCATGGGTGGGGGCGTCTAGTAATTCATCCTCCCCCTCTGTCAGTCATTCTGACAGGGAAATTATGCCATGACTAGTCCACCTTCAGAACGAGAGGACTCCATCCCTTGAAGACACATCTCTCTAACTTGAGTTCTTTGGTTCTTCCGTCCTTTATCTTCCAGAGGTGCGTGGGATCCCACGAACGTCAGCCAGGATTGACAAGGCTCTGGGAACTCTTAATAATTCCAACATGGGGTTAAGGAGGGTCTCTCTCTCTCTCCCCCCCCCTCCCAAGGCCCTTCTAGAATAACCACACCCCGGAATTTTCCTTCCTTTACAGGGTTCACCTCTTACATGCGCAGCCCCGCTGGGGACGTCTTCAACCCGGAACACTACCAGGTCAACCAAGACATGACTCGCCCTCTGAGTCACTACTTCATCACCTCGTCTCATAACACCTACCTCATGGGGGACCAGCTGATGTCCCAGTCCAGAGTGGACATGTACGCCTGGGTCCTGCAGTCCGGGTGCCGATGTGTGGAAGGTGAGATTCGAGAGGGAGGGACCCCCTTTCCATTGCCCCATTTGGAAATCCAGCTGTGTCATGGCAAAACGCCGCAGTTTCCTGTTAGACCCACAAAGCTGTGGATCTCTCTTCCTCTCTCCCCCCTCCTCTCTCTCCCTCTCTGTCCCTCTTTCTCTCCCTCTCCCTCCCTCTCTCCCTCTCCCTCTCTCTCCCTTCCTCCCCCTCTCTCTCTCCCTCCCTCTCTCTCTCCCTCTCTCTCCCTCTTTCTCTCCCTGTCTCTCTCTCTCCCTCTTTCTTTCCCTCTCCCTCCCTCTCCTTCTCCCTCCCTCCCTCTCCCTCTCCCTCTCTCTCTCTCTCTCCCTCCCTCCCTCTCCCTCCCTCTCTCTCTCTCTCTCTCTCACACACACACACACACACACACACACACACAGACATTTTTCCAGATCTTTTGTGAAGAAACTTGCATGATTGGGGACAATTGGGACAAACTCCTTGGGGTGCATTGGCCAAATTTAGGGCTTTGTGTCCTAGCAGGGGGTCTCTGTCTACCTAGAGCAAAGTAGTCAGGGGGATAAGACCAGCGGCTCTAAGCCTAGTTGAATGTGACTCTCTCTGGGAGGATGAACCAGGATCATATTTGACACTAAGGAATCGGGCGGGTCTTTTGAAGGCATCTAGTTCACCTTCACTCAGTTTTGAATTTTTTCCTTCCTTCCTTCCTTCCTTCCTTCCTTCCTTCCTTCCTTCCTTCCTTCCTTCCTTCCCCATTTGCCTTTTTGTTTTAAACAAATGGCTTTTGGTTTTTTTTTTGTCCCGTTCTTTTCAAACCAGCTTGGCCCCACTCCCAGCTAAGAAGGGAGACTCAGCTATCCTAAGAAACCAGCTTGTCTTTTTTTGGTTGTGCTTAGAGCCCTTCAGATCGTTCTCGGTCCATGCCGAGCATATTCTCCAGTTAGTCCTCCAGCCTCTGGAAGTCTTTTCCCATCAGCAGTTGGCATCTCAAACCCCCCACAGATGTACTTTGGGGCGTGGTTTGGGCTCCAGACAGCAAATAGGTAACAAAACACAAGATGCAGGTCTAACATCCCAGCGTCTTTTTTCCCCGTTACGCAGTTGACTGCTGGGACGGTCCGGAGGGCGAGCCTATAGTCCACCACGGCTACACCTTGACCTCCAAGATCCTTTTCAAAGATGTGATTGAGACCATCAACAAGTACGCCTTCATCAAAAGCGAGTATGTGTTTTCCATCTTGAGGACTAGAACGCCAAAAGGCGAAAAGTTTACCTTCGTGATATTCCTTCCTTTATTTTCCCATTTGCAACCTTATTTTCTGCTGAAAATCCAGCAGCTTTCCTGATCTCCCCCCACAGGTACCCCATCATTTTATCCATCGAAAACCACTGCAGTGTCACCCAGCAGAAAAAAATGGCCCAGTACCTGGTGGAAATTTTGGGAGACAAACTGGACTTGTCTACAGCCAACAACGAGGACCCCAATCAGCTGCCTTCCCCGGAGACCCTCAAGGGGAAAATCTTGGTTAAGGTAATCCAAGATAAAATTAGGCAGAGATCAGATTTGGTTGGCGTCCCTGGTAGCCAGGATTGTGGCCCAAATCCTTCTCTTGATCTCTCCCAAGGATGTGGTCGCTATATTTAAGCCAAACGTGTCCTGCCTAATGGCCAATTAAGATCAAAAATCAAAGTCAATGGACTTTATTTAATCATTTACCAGCCTTAGGTAATACAGGAGATAAAATAAGATCAAAGGTACAAACAATAAAAGAAGGGAAGGGAAGATGGAACGTAGCCAGCACTGGTGAGACCTGCTTACTTTAGGTAAATCACCTTGAACACTGAGACCATTAACACTAAGGCCCCATCATAAATGAAGCTAGAAAAAGATAAAAGAGTCCTTGTTTATTTACTAAACTTGGAGCAAGTTTAATCAAATCACTTTCACAACACGTGGCAATGCCACAGGAGAACACATCAACACTGGAAGGTTTTCAAGAAGAGATTGGACAGCCATTGGTTTGAAATGGTGTGGGGTCTTCCGCTTGAGGAGAAGACCTCCACGGTCCCTTCCAACTCTGTTATTCTTGATTAAAAAAAAATTTTTTTTAGTTAATCCCTCCTTTCTTTCTCTTACCTTCCTTCCCCCCGTCGGTTCTGTTGCTTTTTACGCTGCCGGAGTTTAATTCCTTTTCCCCCAAAGAGTTTTAGACAATCTGCGGCAGCTGGCCAGTTCTCAGTGATTAGATTTTGGAGTGGAGTGGTGAGGATCAGGGCTAGCCTTTCCCGAGAGACTTTGGCCTCTCGAAAGCAATCCATTTCCACTCAGCTTTGATCAACGCTTCGGATTGCGCGTTCCTAACGGAGAGCCCATCTTCTGCGCCCACCGATCAATCCAATCCCCTTCTGGGATTTCGTGGCGAGGACGATCGATTGATAAATGTATTTCTCGTGGCCCTGTTTGAAGCTCTCCCATTCCTTCGAGCTGGGGTCTAGCTCAGTGGTTCTCAACCTGTGGGTCGGGACCCCATTTGGGGTCGATCGACCATTTCACGGGGGTCGCCAAGCAAGGCTGTCCGCCATTTTTTTCCCCTTTTCCGGCGGGTGCCTTACCTCCCTTGGGCTGGGCCAGCTGGTGGTCGGCCTGCTCCGTCTCTGCCGCTTGCCAGCTACGCCTCGGCCGGCGCAGGGGGCGGAACCACGCATGCGCGGCACTCCCGGGCGGGGAAAGTGCTCGACTTACGACCGGTTGGGTAGTCCTCGACTTACGACCGGTTTAGTCCTCGACGTACGACCGGTTTAGTCCTCGACTTACGACCGGTTGGGGTCGCGGCATTAAAAAGGTTGAGAACCACTGGTCTAGCTAGAATGAAAACAACGTGGCCACGATTGGAAGCCACGTTGATGCAGACCTCAAGAGCAGGTGGAGGAAAAACTCTTTTTGGTGACTTCCTGGCCACTTCTCAGTCGTGTGGCTTCCCCTTTGACTTTGCTTGTCAGAAGGTCGCAAAAGGGGATCCCGTGACCCCCCCCCAGGACACGGTGACCGTCACAAGTGTGAGTCAGTTGTCAAGTACCTGAATGTAAATCACGTGACCCTGGGGGTGAAAATGGTCCCTTTTCCCAGTGCTGTTGTAACTTCAACCTGCCACTAAATGAACTGTTATAAGTCAAGGACTTTCTGATAGATGCAAGAATATCCCACCGTGATAATTTCGCAGAAAGCTGTTCTCCTTTAAAAGAGTAAGAAAGTGAATGAGAACTGATGGGAAACTTTGGAAATTAATAAATATGAGTTTTTTGGGGGGTGAGAAGGTGGAGGAATTGATGATGATGATGATGATGATGATGATGATAAAGTTGGAAGGGACCTTGGAGGTCATCTAGTCCAACCCCCTGCTCAGGCAGGAAACCCTATACCATTTCGGACAAATGGTTCAGCCAACAAAATAAACTATAGAGATCCAGGTTCCATAAAATGGAACCGATGTTCCCCTGTTCGGCCCTCCTCTCCTTCTGTTACATTTCCTGGCTTACTCAGCCCAGCACTCTTGGGCCCATGTTACTCAGCCCAGTCACTCTCAAGCCCATGCTTCCCCCCCTCCCCCAAGCTCTACTTAATGGACTTGCTTCAATAAGCGAGCAGGGGGAGAGACAACTTGGGAAGGATGAATTATGCAAGCGATAAATAAATGATATTCTTCCTTTTGATATTTGGCACAGCCAGCGGGAGTGCCAGTTGGCCGTCGGCGTTTATTCCTCTCCTAACGACACGTTTTGGCATTCTAGGGGAAAAAGCTTCCGGCCAACATTAGCGAAGACGCCGAAGAGGGCGAAGTATCCGATGAGGACAGCGCGGATGAGATGGACGATGACTGTAAGCTGATGAACGGGGATGTAAGTATTGAAAATGCAGGCAGAGTTGGAATGTAGAGTTGATTCTTGTTGACCAAACCCAACCACAGTAATGTTGATCTGGGGAAGAAGAAAGAGGGAAAATGCTTTTTGCCAAGGTGTTTTTTTTAGAAGCATATGAATAGAATAGAATAGAATAGAGCTGGAAGGGACCTTGGAGGTCTTCTAGTCCAGCCCCCTGCTCAGGCAGGAGAATCTATACTGTCTCAGACAGGTGAATGTCCAGTCTCTTCTTAAAAATCTCCAGTGATGGAGTGCCCACGATTTCTGGTGGCAAGCTGTTCCACTGGTTGATTGTCCTCACTGTCAGGAAGTTTCTCCTTAATTCCAGGTTGCTTCTCTCCTTGATCAGCTTCCAACCATTTTTTCTCGTCCTTCCCTCTGATGCTCTGGTGAACAACCTGGCCTCCTCTTCTTTGTGGCAGCCCCTCAGATACTGGAACACTACTATCATGTCTCCCCTATTTCTTCTTTTCTTTAGGCTAGCCAAACCCAAGTCCTGCAGCCGTTCTTCGTATGTTTTAGTCTCCAGGCCTTTAATCATCTTAGTTGCTCTTCTTTGAACTTTTTCCAAACTCTCAACATCTTTTTTGTGATATGGTGACCAGAATTGGCTGCAGTATTCCAGGTGTGGTTTTACTAGGGCTTTATAAAGCGGTAATATTACTTTGCGTGATCTTCGTGAACTTCGTACGTTCTTGTTTGTGTCGAGGTGCTCGTTTCAAACACCCGTTCAGAGACCCATCAGATCAGAGTTGACAACTTCTTGGGAGCTCCTGAACCCAGATTTGATCTTGGAGGCACAGAGCCTCTTGTCTTAACCATTTTCACGGAGGAGAACCAGTCAACTGAATTAAGATTTTTCACCAGGGAGATAACGGAGTAACAGCTTCTTTAGATTTCCTTGTTAGTGTATTTATTTTCTGAACAAGCACTTTTCTTGCTTCAGCACCTGGGACAGCACCCGCCTTCTGTCAAAAGCCAGAATACATAAAAAAATATATATATATCTCATCCCAATTGCTTATCTATTGGATACACACTGCTTATTTCTAGGTGTTGCAAAACGTAATAAATCTAATTGAAAGCTTGGAAGTTTCCCCCGCTGCGGGTATTTTATATCCCCCCCAGATGAGTTTGAACGGCAACTTTTAGCAGCCACGTGGGAGAGAAAGTACCTTCTTCCCTTCAGTCCAGATCCTAATGTGAACAATGTTAATTCCTGTATTTTGCGGTGTTTCTTTATTAAAAAAATAAAACATGTATAAAAACCCTCTGCAAGCAAGCATCTGGATGGCCAGCTGCGAATGGCTAGTTATGCTCACCAAGGGCACCTCCAAAGCCAAGAAAACGGCCGCCTGTTTTATTTTTGAGAGCATTCATTGCCATGTGCTTTGGCCAATTAAGGAAGCAAAGGTTGTGGTCTTTGTAAAGTACAGCTTGCTCGACCGAGGACGCGAAACCGAGCGAGAAATTCGACACAGGCGGCGAGCCGCGTGATGCGCACCTTTTAGCGTGCCCTACTTTTTTTTTAAAAAAAGCATCCGTCACTGAGAAAGCAGCCGAAAAGAACAGGAGTTTAATATTGGTCTCACCAGAATTGAGGGTTAGGAAAACTTTCCTGGTCTCCTTCCCCCCCTCCCTGAATTCCTTTATACCTTTGCAATCCACAAACAAGAATAATCCTGAATCGCTCCCGATAAGGCAGAGGCAAATCTAATTTTGCTCTCTTTGAGTCTGTCTGGCATCGACTGTGCAGTTCTTGAGATGTTTGGCAAAGCCCATCAGCCTTCATTTGTTTTGACATTTACCTTGTGCCGAATCCAAAAACAATTGAGGGGAAAAAACACCTGGGAACCACTAATCAAACATTCATAGGGCTTGTCACTCAAGGAACTCTACGATTGTGATTGATTTTTTAGCTGCTTGGTTAAACCGAAGTCATGTTTGAAGTGCACACCGGTCATAAAAATGCCCGCGTAATAGAAGCAGGAGGCTGTATATTAGTCTGTTGAGAAGAAAATGGGATTAATTTAACTTTGGGGTTCGTGTGCTTCTCGCTTTCCTCGTTCAGTTCACTTTTACCAGTTATAGATAGTCTTGACTTACGACCGCAGCTGAGCCCAGAATTTCTGTTGCTAAGCGAAACAGCTGTTAAGTGAGTTTTGCCCCATTTTACGTCCTTTTTGGCCCAGTTGTTAAGCCAACGACTGCAGCCCTTAAAGTTAGTAACATTAGCAAAAAAAAAAAGAGGATCACACAACTCCGACC